GACCTCAACGAGTCAGACCACCCTGCAAAATACTGAGGCAAAACCAAGAAGCATTCTGCATGCATGACTGTTTTGGTGAATGAGGCTGCAGAAGAAGTGCTGTGTGTTCAGACCTCCAGCTGAACCAAAGTGACACACACCAAGCATCTTCCCCTGTTTAGAGACAATTCCTGGTGTTAGGCTGTTTCAGGAAGCAATGGCCTTTGCTCTCTTTGCGGAACATCCTCCCTGAAAGCAAGTTGCTCATGTGATCTAACCACCTTACCTGCCTCTGCACCAAGATACTGGTGAAAAGCTCAATTGCTCCTTTCTCCCTGGGACCCAGCTGGTGCTGGGTGCACCTCTCATGGGGCATCTTTGCACAGGCCTTGTGAAGGTTAAGAGGCAGGTGCCAGGCTGCCTGCAGGGTACCAGGGTGCCCAGAGGCTGCTGGGATGCCTGGAGTCTGCTGGGGTACCCACAGGGTGCCAGGTGCCCAGAGGGTGCTGGGGATACTCACAGGGTATGGGTGTGCTCACAGGGTGCTGGGATGCCCAGAGACTGCTGGGATGCCCGCAGGGTGCTGGGGATGCCTGGAGGGTGCCAGATACCTGCAGGGTGCCAAGATGTCTGGAGAGTGCCGGGATGTCCAGAGAGTATTGGCGATGCCCGTGGGGTGGCAGGATACCTGCAGGGTGCTGAGATGCCTGGCACATATTCAGGATGTCTGCAGGGTGCTGGGATACCTGCAGGGTGCTGGGATGCCCAGAGGATACTGGGGATGCCTGCAGGGTGCTGGGAGGCCCCCAAGGTGCTGGGGATGCCTGGAGGGTGCTGGGTGCCTGCGGAGTAGCAGCTGTCTGGAGGGTACTGGGATTTCCAGAGTGTACTGGGGTGTCTGGAGGGTGCCAGAATGCCCCGAGAGTGCCTGGATGCCCAAGAGGTGCTGAGATACCTGCAGGGTGCTGGGATGCCTGGAGACTGTTGGGATACCTGCAGGGTGCCAGGATGCCTGGAGCATACCGGGGATGCCCTCAGGGTGCAGGGATTCCTGAAGCGTGCTGGGGTTGTCCAGAGGGTGCCGGATGCCTGCAGGGTACCAGGTACCAGGAGGGTACTGGGATTCCCAGAGTGTACTGGGATGTCCGGAGGGTGCTGGATGCCCGCAGGGTACTGGGAGACAGCAGGGTGCCAGGGTGCCCACAGGCTTCTGGGGATGCCCAGAGGGGACCAGAGATGCTGGGAGGGTGCCGTGATGCCTGCAGGGTGCCAGAGATGCCCGGAGGGTACCGGGGTGCCCGGAGGGGACCAGAAATGCCCGGAGGGTACCGGGATACCCGGAGGGTACCGAGGTGCCCGCAGGGTGCCGGGTGCCCGGGCTGCGGCGGGGCTCTGGTGCCACCTCGTGGGCTGCCGCCTCCCGCCGCCGCGCAGGGTCCGGCCCGCAGGGGCTTCCGCGGAGCCCCAGGTTTGCTCGGCAGCCCCAGCGCTTGCAGCCGGGGTCTGCCCGCCAGCCTGGGGCGGCCGGTGGAGCTCCGAGGCAGCAGAGCGCTCAGCACCCCTCTGCTCAGCTGTGCAACCCCTCCTTGGCCAGTCCTGCCAAGATTTTCTTCTTTTGCTGCTTCCCAGAGGCACACGTGTTCCTGTACCCACCTCTACCAGCTGCTCGAAGAGTTGGTGCCTTCAGAAAAAGCAGCTCAGAACAGAGCTCGCTGCTCGGATCCCAGGGAATGTCTCCAGACCCTCCCACAGGGACAGACTAGGAGCTGATCGCCATCACACAGGCAAACAGCTTAGCAGGAATCGTTGTGTCCCAATCCCATCAGGAAACAGAAATATTAGCAAGTGATGCAGCATACGGCAATCTTTCGTCCTGTCTCCGTGAGCCCAGCAAATCTCCCAGGGCTGAGAGGGTAAGGGAAAGCTGTGAGAGGGGCCCTGAGCAGTGCCCTGTGCCCCCATCCTTCACGGGATTACAGGATCACAGAGTCACAGAATCATCTCGGTTGGAAAAGACCTTGAAGATCGTGCAGTCCAACCATTAACCTCACACTGACCGTTCTCAACTCCACCAGATCCTTCAGCACTTTCAATCCGATTACCCAGCCCTTCCCTCCTTGCTTGTGCCCCCCTGAGCAAACACCTCTGGCCCTCCCTGCCACTGGCCTCAGCGTGGCATCACCTTGTGCAGGTATAAACTTCATGCAAGTGCAATCTTTCCCTGCTCTTTCTCATGCAGGTTTGGCTTCCTCACAGATGGCATCTGGTCCTCATCCCTCTCCATGGGGTCGCCCTGGCTCACACCAGCACCGTGCCAGAGATGGCCCAAGGGCAGGAAGGCTCCTGCAGAACTCTAAGAAGCAGGATGTCCCAGTAACAAGCACCAACTTCCATGTCCCAAAGTCAGAACTGAATCTAATTTGCCTGGAGGTCTGGGACTGGAGGGGAGGCAGCTGCCTCTGCCCCACCTGCCTGGCTCTCTTCACCCAGAGGAGCCCCTGCAGCCCCTGCTGAACCCCATCCTCCTCCTCCCAGGGATTGTGTCGTGGGTGGCCATGACCTAGTTATGAACTACCACAGCCCGGCAGAGGCTAATCACAACCAGTGCCTGTGCTCTAGGGAGGGGATAAAAGAGGTCCCAGCTGCATCCTGGCCTCCCGTCTCCCACTTTTGGCTGAGGTTGCCATGGCCAAGCAGACATGAGTGAAACTGTTCCCTAAACTCTTTGTACTCTTTCCTCACTGGCCCATGTAGAGGAATAACAAGATACACCAGCCCTGCAAAGGCATGTGTTGATCTAGTGCAGGTCAAAGCCACAGCTCAAAGCCTGCTTCCCCTGGGATCACTGCGATCCAAATAATCTGTGCAGTAACATCCCTCATCCCTTCCCCATGTCCCTACAACTGTCTACGGAGGGAGTCAGCCCTGCATGCTCACAGAAGGACATCAGCTGCACCGATGGGCCAAGAGGAATATGCCAGAAGAAAGCCATGTACATGTATATCTGCATGTCATATATATTACATACTCAGAGCACGGAGCAGAACCAGCCCCTCTAGGGTCTATTTAGAGCCTGGGGCCGAGGTCTGGCCACCATCCATAGGGGCCCTGCATTGCTATTTTGAAAGAGCACCCGCTCACAGGCTCCTAAGCCCCACTGAATGTCCTGTTGCAGCAGAGAGGCTGGAGGATTTCTGGCTTTGCAGGACCTGCTGGTGATTTTGAACTGCTCTTGGCAGCATGACAGGGGAGCACCAAGGGATAAAAGTAGCAGGTAGCCAGCCTGGCAAGCGCTGAGGTTACCGAGTATGTCCAAAGAGCCACATCCTGCTGTGAAGTTACAGCAACAACGAGCACTCACACACTGTCTGTCCGCAGCAGCTGATGAAAAGGCAGGAGAAGGCAGAATGAAATCAGAGCCCGTGCAGACCTTGCAGGGATGCCAAACTGCAGAGCCCTGCTGCCACCCGTGATATGCCACTGCCAGGAGAAAAGCGTCACCCTCCTGGGTATGTGGGTCCCTGTGGCTAAGCCAGGGGAAGGTGTAAATCAGGGATGTAAGCAGTGTTCAGCTCGGTAATTATGTGGGTTACATGAGTTTGGGAGAGAAACCTCCTTGATGGTGCCACGCAGGGAAGGATCCTGATGTCACCTGTGTCCCCGGTGATGGCAGACCCTGCCCCTCGAGGCCAAGGGACTGTGAAGGCTTAATCCCCCTGAGCACTGGGATAACTCGGCACTGCGGCGGGGATGGAGGCAGAGAGCGGCACAGCTGAGGAGCCCCTGGGCTGCCTGTGTGTCGCTTCATTCCCAAGTCCTGGCAGAGCTGGGGACAAGTCGTGATTCATCTGCCTCCCACGTGTTGCCCCTTGCTGCAAATCCTACCCAGAGATAATTGCTGCTTCCTGAGCGGGCACCCCAACCGAGGGACCAGCCTGGCTGGGAGCCGGAGTGACAGCTCGGGGCTCTTTGAAGATGCTGAGAGAGCTGCTAAATATGTAAATCTCAGCACACTGCTGTGACTCTGGTTTAATGGAGTTTTTGACCCTCTGCAGCTGTGTGGGAGCAGGGAGAGACAGACCCAGATAAAATCACCAAGAGCAGCATCCCTGCTTGACTATTCCAGCCACGGGCCAGCCTCTGCTATGCTGGGCTGTTTTAATGGCTAGCAGTTGCTCTAGCAAGACAAGAAAGCTGCTGGGTCGTATTCTGCTTCAATTCCATGAAAAAAACTTAAAAGAGGGAGATAAGGGTGTAGCCCCAGGTCACTTTGCCCATGGCTGAAAACTAAAGCAGGTCTTGAGCTCCCCCTTGAAATTTCCCCAGTGGAGCAAAGCCAGCTGCTTCCTGTTCCGGGCTTCTTTCAGGGCTGTATCTGGTTCATGATGATAATGATGATGCCAACATCATCCTCATGCCTGGGATAATCCCCTTTTTATTACACATGTCCTGATGGAGACAAATATTGCCAGCTTTGCCTATCCAATTTCTTACATAATAGCTCCCAGGGACCAAGGGATGTGTGGGGGAGACATGCTTCCTCTTTGGAGTAAGCTCCTTGGGGCAGAAACATTAGGTCTGGCTGCCCATCCTACAAGGAGCCAGCCGATTCCCCTGAGAAATTCCTTATTGCTCAAGCCCAGGAGATGATCATGCCTGGCACAACCAGCAGCCTCCTCATCCTTGCTGCAAAGAAAGCTCATCCATGCTGCCTTCAGCTGCCTACGGGCTCACGATGCTATCAGACAGGTCTGGATCAGGCAGAGTACCTGGCTCTCCTTTCCAAGCTAAGCCCTCTGCTCTTCCAGCCCAGTTTACAGCAGGCACTTAGCACAGAGCTATCAGCTAAATGCTTTATCCCTCTGCAGGCAGTCAGGCCAGGGAAAAAAAAAAAAAAAAAAGAAAAGAAAAAAAGCCTGATGGGATCCTTTTGCGGGCCTGTCACCTTAAAGCCTCTCATCTCTCCCTGTCTTTCGTCGGGGTTATAAACTCCTTAGGATGTCATCATGTGGTCCGTAAATAACAAATATATATAAGCAAGGGCTGTGGAGGGTGCAGCAGACAGAGGAGGGGAGGCAAAACCCCTGGGTCCTTCTTTCCTGCCAGCTGCAAGACGGCACCACCGGAGCCAGGCGGGCAGCGGAGCGGCCCGGGATCCCATCCGGTAAGCACCCACCTTTCTGTTGCATCCAGGTGGCACTAACAGACTTGGGGACAGCTGGTGTTCCCAAGGCCACTGTGACTTGACAGCCCCAGTATCCCAGGATGGGAGGAATGGCCCCAGAGGGAACTGAGGTTGGCGCATGGAGCTTAGCTTGCCTGAAAAGTGACTTTTTGTGGAGGTAAGAGTGCAACTGTCATCACAGCCCGTGTCCCATCCCTACACTTCCACCACAGGCTATCAAAACCTGGGTGCAGGGACTCTTCTCACTAAAACCCTCCATGTTTGGGGTGTGGGAAGAATTTGAGCTCTTTTGCAAAGAGCTTCAGAAGGCTTCAGAACTGGGTGAATAACTCCTTACTATCAACTAATTTAAAAATTCAAGCTCCAGATCCAGGCAGACATCCATAACATAATAAAAAGATGCTGTTAGTGGGTTACTGCAGACTTGCCTGTTTACTCACGTGTGAATGCCCCCCTGGACCATGCAGGTGCTTTGATGTCTAGTGCACAAACACAAGTGTGTGTGTGTGTAAATTTCCAGAGCAAGCTCTTGGTACGCTGCTACGCACACACAAATGTATCGGGCTTGTCTCAGGCAGGTCTGGTGAGGAGTTACAGCACAAAATACGGCCTTCAGCAGGATACCGGAAGGCTGCGTTGGAGCACTGGAAGGCAGATGTCTGGAGCCAGGGAGGGAGGATTTTTCCTCACTCTGTTTCTCACTTACTCTATGACCTGGGGCGTTTCCTTCACCTCTGCAGGTCGGCTGGTTCCCGGGTGTAACAGCAGTGCTGGTACCCCCATGGGGTTGGCTCCAGGGATGGGCTGGGAAGGTCAGCTGGCTCCTCTGTGCTTTGCAGGCTCTGTATCCCCCACCCCAGAAGCCCTTTGCATCTGTGGGGAGCCAATAAGCGAAGCTAAAAGTTCATTTTCAGAAAACAAACACAAATGTATCAGCCCTCCAGCTGTATAACCTGGGTTGCCAGAAATAAAGTGCCAGAGGGGAAAAAACACAAGAAAAACAAGCCACGGAGCAGCCTTTCTCCATCACCAACTTCTGCACCAGGCTGTTGCCAGTTGGGGTCTCAGGAGATTTCTATAAATAGCTGGAGGGAGCTACTTCCCCTTTCCTGGTTATCTCTAATAGGAATGGACCAGTCATTTGCATAAGAGGTGTTGAATCCCCCCAGCTCTGTGGATGTCCCTGTAGAGACTTTCCACTCTTCAGTTCTTTCCAGCCTTTGTATGATCTGAGATAAAGGCTTGCTCTTGGACAGTGGACTGTTTAACAGTGGGTATTGGGGAGCAAACAGCCCTGAGCAGCCTGGTCTGGCTGAAGGTGTCCCTGCTCATCGCAGGGGGGTTGGACTCGACGACCTTTAATGGTCCCATCCAAGCCAAACTATTCTACGAGTCCATGATCCTGCTCCGTAATTCCCATGAAGAAGAAACGCCATCCCTGTCTGGGGCCATACTCAGCTGGCTGCTCTGCCCTGCCATCCTCAGGCCTGATCCAGCAACCCCAGATCCTGCCCCAGGCACTCAGCACCATCCAGGATCAAACCACCATTGCATTTTCTAGGTGCCCGGAGCCTACCCTCTTGCCTGCTCTGGGATTTATCCAGGTGGATGAGCCCCTAATTCAATTACCAGGATGAGGAGTTCCAGAGATTTGATAATAATCTCTACAAACACTACAACTGCCCCTGCATCCCATTTTCCCCTCCAGCTCGGCCACCCCTTTACTTCCCTCCTACACTATTTCTAAGAGCACAAACCACACATTCCCAGCATTATGGCAGTTCTTGGTGAATAGAAAGAGCGTTTGGGATGCTAAATAGTTCTCCTGCAAAAGAAACACCCTCTCCCTGATAGACCTGATCCCTTAAATACACACCCCCTGCCACACCAACAATTAATTGAAAATAAATGACAACAGCACCCTGTCTCACCTCGGACTGGATAAAACAGGCGTTTCAAGCACCCAGCCCTTGGCATTTCAGGATGGAAAATTCCCAGCTTGCGCTGGTTCTGCCCTGTGCAATGCTTGTGCTGGAAATGCTTTTGTTTCTATAAATCCTGTTAGCTGGAGCCAAGCCTATAATTAGCAGGGAAAGCCGGCACCTCTCAAACAATAATCAAAAATGACCTGGCTTCATACTGGCCTTACTACAAATTGCTTGAATATTGGGCTGAGAAGGGATGGATGGATGGATGGATGGATGGATGGATGGATGGATGGATGGATGGATGGATGGCCCTGGAGCATTTCCCACTATTTCTGCCTGTGGGATGTGTGTGCTTAGCAAAGTTATTCACTCAGTTTGTAGTTCTCTCTGGATTTATTAACTTGGTTCACTCACACATGAAACCAGAGGCAGATTGAAGCCACAGGCTCTGATCCAGGTCAAGGGATTTGGTTGGGCTGTGCTGCCGGAGAAGCTCGGCAAGCTCAGGTGCTGGTGACCCTCCTGGGAGTACTGAGGAGTCTGGGGTCCCATGTCATAGGCAGCATGTCCCGGGATGGGCCTGGTGGGATCGTGCTGCCTGGGACAGGGGTAAATCTTGGGGGCACCTCACCCAGGTGGGATGCCTGAGGCTCATGGTTCACTTGTCCTGCCAGTGACCCATCCCAGCTATGTCTGTGAGCGTGGACGTGACCTGAGAGCCCAACGGGGCTAAGCTGTGTCACTTACCTGCTGAGCAAGCTGGAAACAGTAGCAAATCCTGGCAGCTCGGGCTGTCTCTGAGAGGCAGCTCTGGCTGCTTGATGCATCCGTCACTGACCTCTCGCTCCTGTACAACCACGCAGCACCACATGGAGCTTTCCCCCAGAGATGCTTATTTTGCAGCCCCTCAGCTTCCTGCAGCCACATCCCACCCTGCCTGTCTCCAGGGCAGGGGCTGGATGTGTCCTGGCGTTCTCCTGCCCATCCTGCTGCCTGGCTTTGCCATGGGCTGGGTCAGGAGGTGTGGGGCAGGATGTTGGGGCAGGATGCTCAGCCCCACGCCCGCTCCCCTAGCTCTAACAGCCCCCGTCCCTGCTCTGTCCCACTGCCTGGGTGCTGGCAGCTGCTCACCAGGCTTTCGGCCCCCACATCCCTGAAGTCATGAGTGTGCTACAACCCACAGCTGGTGCCAGGCTGCTGCACCGGCCCCAGCTCACAGCACCGGCAGACCTGCAGTGGGGTCACTGTGGGCAGGTATTTGCTATGTATAGATATATACACACATATGTATAGGAAAAGGGTGGCAAGCAGCCTAATCCCACGTGTGATGAACAGGTATTTTCAGCGGCTAAGAGCGCCAGAGCAGATTGGCTGAAGTAAAGGGTGCCGTGACGCTGCGGGGGCCAGCAGAGGCGGCCCCGAACAGACGGAGCAGTGGGAAGCCAGGCAGGAGGAGGAAGATGAGGATGATGTCGGCACTCAGCCCGTTGCCTTTTCTGAAGCCCGTTCACCTGAGGTCCCCCCGGAGCTCGCCCGGGGGCCAGCGCCGCCACACACTGCCCGCCAGCGAGTTTCGCTGCCTCAGCCCCGAGGACACCATCAGCGTGTTCGAGATCGAGCGGGAAGGTGAGGGGCTGCGCCGGGGAGGCCTTGCCTGGTGGTGTTGGCTGGACATTGGTGAGGTTTAGACTGGACATTAGGAAAAAAATTTTCACAGAAAGCGTGGTCAGAGAGTGGAATAGGCTGCCCAGGGAGGGGGTGGAGTCCCGATCCTTGGGTGTGTTTAAGGGTGGTTTAGACGAGATGTTGGGGGATGTGGTGTAGGGGAGAACTGTGTAGCGTAGGGTTGAGGGTTGGACTCGATGATCTCAAGGGGCTTTTCCAACCTGAATGATTCTGTGATTCTGAGATGACCCCTCCATTTCCTCCTCCAGTCCCCTGCGCTCCTTGAGGGCACACCGTAGTGCCAAACCCCCTCTGCCATGTCCTCATGGGTGATGAGGGAGGGAGCCAGCAGCCATGCCTTGTGGCCAGGCCACCATGGGCTCCCTAACAAGGTGGGGGAGGCTGTGATTAAGGAGGTGAAGAACCACAGCCCCCAGTTCACCCAGCTGCCCCGAGTGGGGATGGTGGGAGGCAATCCCAGAGCAGGACCAGGCAAGTTGACTGGAGAGGGGGAAGGTGGGAGGAAGGCCACTGCACTCTCTCTCCTATTGCACAAGAGCCCTTTTTGAGATGCACCCCCAGCAACCTCCCCACTCCCCTCCACCCCAGGCACCCCCAGCTCCCCTCACCCCGCCCTCCCCAGGCCCATTTCTCCCTCCTCTCCACAGGGCAAGGGCAGCTGGGGAGATGCTGGAAGGGAGGGCTCATCTCAGCACCCACTGCTGTAGCCCTGGAATCAGCAACGAGAGCGGGGAGCTGGTCCCTGGGTGGGTGGGGGGCTGCCTTTGGAGGAGCAGAGCCGCTCCCTGCAGCTATCCGTGTCACTTAGAGCTCCTTTAGGCCACACAGGCAGCAGGACACATGCCACCTCTCCCCATCACATTCCACTTCCCCTCCCTACATTGCTGCTGGGGGGTTTTCTGAGTCTGGGTGTTGTCAGTCCCCCTCACTGCGCTCACTGCTGTCCCTCTTCAGCCTTTATATCCGTCTCAGGGGACTGTCCCCTCCACCCGGACGAGATCCGCCACTTTCTGAACCTGTGCCCGGAACTCTCCCTTGGCTGGTTTGAGGAAGGGCGGCTCGTGGCGTTCATTATCGGCTCCCTCTGGGACCAGGAGAGGCTCAGCCAGGTAAGAGCTGAACCCTGTTCTTCCCAGCTTGTGCCCTGGGAGAGGCACTGCCAGAGCCTGGGGATGAGGAGAAGCTCCCCGGGGCCCAGAGGCTACTCACCAAGCCTTCTCCCAAGACTAACTGCTACAGGGCTGCTCTGGTGAAAATTAACTTTCTCATTAATTAGTTTTCCTGATGCTGTTAAAAGTATGCCAAGTAATTCCCCTCAACATTAATTTTAAAATTAAAAAGCCTCCAAGGATAACGGAGGGAGGTGAAGGGGGATGGCACTGGGACCCTTTTCCCTTCGTGGGGAGGATGTGGACCCTGGTTCATTGGGGTGGGGAACCAAGACACGTGGAGGATGGGACCCTCCGGTCACACTAACCCCCGCCCCCCCTCGGCAGGCAGCGCTGACCCTGCACAAGCCGCAGGGCACGGCAGTGCACATCCACGTGCTGGCCGTGCATCGCACCTTCCGGCAGCAGGGCAAGGGCTCCATCCTCATGTGGCGGTACCTGCAGTACCTGCGGTGCCTGCCCTTCGCCCGGCGTGCCCTGCTCATGTGCGAAGATTTCCTCGTGCCCTTCTACCAGAAGTGCGGTTTCGAGGTGCTGGGTCCCTGCCAGGTGACGGTGGGGGATCTAGCCTTCATCGAGATGCAGCACTCCGTGCGGGGACATGCCTTCATGCGCAGGAACAGCGGCTGCTGAGCCCCCTCGGCTTGGGCCGGGGGTTGGAGGGAGGCAGTTGGAAGGGGCATGAGGGGCTGCGACCCCTCTCCATCCCCGCCATGACTCTACGTTTTCTCTGGCTATGGCTGCTCCCTCCGCCACATCTTGCCTTCCAGCCAGGAGATCAGCCCAGTCTCATGCCAGCCCCGCAGGGCCTGTCTCTTATACACAT